CATATTAAAAGTTCCTTCACTACACCACTTTACAGTACATTTTTCATATTTTGATAAATTAAAAAGCGCAGGATTATGCCAGGATTCGAACTCAGATCTGAAAAATAAGAGTCGGACGACCTAACTACTTGGCGTCCGTGTTCTTAATCATACATATTATGTAGAAGAACTAACTTTTTTTTTTAAATAACTACTCTCTATGAGAACGTTGCGTATTTTTTTTACAAATATGAAAATTGAAATAATTTCGTGTTTTTTTTTTCAAAATATGTCATGTGGAACTAATTCTAGACGGATTTCTAGCGATGAGATCTTTTCATCAAGCACCATTTTGCAATTCACCCCAGGATTTCTTCGATAAAAAAAATGTTCATTATAGTAATATCTCTTTTTTCACGTATTACAAAGATGCACAAACAAGTTTTTGAGTTTAAAATCAACTCAATGTGTCCAGACAATCCCACTGTAAATTTTATTACACATATTTATTGAATCTTTAAACAAACAAAATACATAAAACACTAAGAAAGCAGACTTTTACCAGTTTCCAAAGTTCTTTTCTAGAGCTTAAGTAAGATTTTCTTGGATCTGTAAATACTGACAGATATATCCGGTTAATGAGCTTTAAATACACGTACTTAATGTTTCAAAGGTCAGATTACAGAAAATGTAATGAAAGATTGGACTTGGAAAATGTAATGGACGGTTCAAAAAATTAGTCGTTATGATTTTGTTAACTTCTATTGAAAAATAATTAAAGTAAATACAAGGGTAATTGTAATTGATTGTAATTAAAAACCAAATTGATTTTTTGGTACAAAACTGAACATAAGAAAAAAACAAAAAGCTTTTAGAAATTAAATTGCATGTTCAAAATGTCCACCACCTTCTTGGCAAGCCTGACATAGTTTCAGGATTTTCCTACGGGGTCATCCTCACTTGTGAAAAGAACAAAATAGAATTTATTTTAAAAAGGTCCCCATATATAGAAATCCATCAGGTTTAAAAAAATTAAATTTTAGCACTTAATACTTGATCATTGGGAAATTAAGTTTAATGCCCATTTGAAGGACCAATTTTATAATGCCAGAACATCAACAACGGATATATTTCACTGATTGTTTGAAGCGCCGAACACGTCGGGGATTGACACAACCACAGTCAGTCTATCTTGGAGTTTTCCTGCGATCGGAAGTTCTTTTTTGGTCAAAAGAAATTTGCGGACTTGAGCTATCAACTTGGATTCACGGCTTTCTCAATATACAGTTTTGTCGACTTCGCATATACTTTTTTTAACACCAGTAAGCCCTTTTTGTTGTTTTATTAATGAATGTGTTTGATTGTTTATTTCTTGCTTTAAAAAAAGTGCTGAAGCAAGGCAGAGCGTCATTCCTTTTTTTTAAATTAAAGTCCTTTATTTATAATTGTAATCAAAAGTCTTAATTTTTCATTTCTTTGCCACTATTTTTTCGGACGGCATAATAAACTTTTAATTTTGTTTGTTTTTTCAATAACACGACATAGTGTAATCATAACGTTTGTATAAGCGCCATATCACAAAACCAGGATAACATACTGAAGAATCTGTTCAAAGGAATTGATATTTTACCTAGGATAATAGGGAAAAAATATGCAGAAAATGTTTGAGCGTAAACGTAACCTATTAGCTTTTTGCTCGTTCAGCCTGATCCTCCACTCAGTGCACCAATCGTACTTTTTGAAAATAATAACGAAATGAAGGTTTTCTTTTCAAATTCTGTGTCATAATTTTATTAATATTTGACCAATTTAAAATCTGTGCCATCGTTTTCAATGTAAAAAATCCTTTCAAACAGTGGGAAAACAGAAAACGTTATTATTTAAAATTTCGAAGTTGTATGTACTGGCTCTATCATGACAACGAATATTTTTTACAAAAGCAATGAAAGGTTAAAACTAAACTAAAAAATATTAAATAGTTCGGATTTTTGATTACGTTATCTGTCCAAGAGAAATTCATCCGTACCAGCTAACAAGTACAAACCCTGTATGTAATGACCCCAAATATAAATACGAATGTATTTATATTGCTATACGAAAATAGTATTTCTTCATCTGAACTATTTTCTATTTCTGATGCACTTATGCGGACTCCTTAAAACAAAAAAAAATTATTTCCCTGATTCGCTAAAATCGCTGAGCAAATTGAAACACCGCAGATACCATGGCTTAAACAACTATATCAACTATGAATTTATATATAAGATGCAGTTTATTATTAACACAAAAAAAAAAATAAAAAGGTGAAACTTCTGTGGGTTTGGGGCCAATTAAATGCTAGCGAGTATTGTGGGGAAACAGAAACCATGGTGCATGAAATAGCGGAATGTCCAAAAAATAAACTCAAAAGAGAAGAGCTGTACACGAATTAAAGGATCTAATAGAGATTCCGTTTAATTTTTTTAGATTAAAACAATTTTAGCCTCAAGGAATATTAACCTACAAGAAGTTTCAAACATTTTTAAAAGAAATAAAACGGAAGTTTAGAATAATTAAGACATTAAAATCTGTCAAAAGACCTCAGAAGCCGTTTAAATATAAAATACAGAGTAGTAATCCTGCTATACTAACTTTTTCATCTCAATCAAGACCATAAATATAAAGAATATTTAATTGAAATAACTAATATGGTCAATTATGGCTGCTAAACATATATGGATTAAAACAGTAGTAATGTTTTAACAAATACATGCTGAATAGGAAAACAGTTTATACGTGGCCTATGGCATCATATAAAGAAATATTTTGTTTTTATCAGATGAACAATAATGCAAAACCAATTTTTGATACCATTTTTGGCAGTACCACTACAATATCACGTTTTAAACTAGTACATGCTGATTGAGAGACTTTGTTTATGAATTCAACAAAATTCAGAGAGTTAAATGTGAAAAGTAAAAAAATTGCGTACACCATTATAAATTGGCTCATTACCATAAATTAAAATGTCAAAACATAATGCACTTCTGTAAAAATGAAAATGAATAATAACTATTATTTTTATTTATTGTGCAAGAATGAAATTTAAAAAAATAAATGGCACAATACTTGTAACCTAGACCCCTGTTTTCTGTTATTTAAATTTTAAAAAATTTTCGCAATTTGAAAATGTTAAAATTTGAATATTGTTACGCAAGAAATTTTATGTTTACATTAGATCAATTACCCTCGACATTTGAGAATGTTGATTTTGAATATTGTTAAACAAGAAATAAATCAAGGATAATAATAACTCAAAAAGATAAAAATACAAATCGATAATAATATGAACCTTAAAATAGTAGTTAACTATATTAAAAAATATTATATTACATTGTAATATATTTTTTTATTAGTCCATTAAACAAATGTTTTCTAAATATTTATATTTTCAACGTTATGGGAATAAAAAGAAAATGATACTAGCTGATTTTTGTTGACAGAAACGTCTAAACCAAAATCTTTTATGAATGCCTTATTTAAATACGGTGGAGGGTGGCAAATTTTATATTTAATACAGTACATTTTCTCGACATTGAAAATGAAAATTTAAATATTTAAATCAAAAGAAATTAGTAAAAGACAATAAGAGCCAACTAATAAAATTAAAATCGACAATAACATGAACCTAAATATAAAAGCCACGACTCTATAACAAAAAAAATTATATTACATTGTTATATACTTTTTATTAGTCCATTAAACAAAAGTTTTCTAAATATTTAAATTTTCAACGTTATAGGAACAGAATGAAAAATGATATTGATTGATTTTTGCTGACAGAAATGTCTAAACCCAAATCTTTTATTTATGCCTTAATTAAATACGGTGGAGGGTGGCAAATTTCATATTTAATGAAGTACACTAATATTCTCTCGCATTCAAAATATTATAATTTAAATATTTTTAAATGTTTAAAAAAAAGAAATTAATAAAAAACAATAAGAACCAACTAATAAAAATTAAAATCGACAATACATGAACCCACGACTCTATAATAAAAAATATTATATTACATTGTAATATATTTTTTATTAGTTCATTAAACAAATATTTTCTAAATATTTATATTTTCAACGATGTAGGAATAGAACGAAAAATGATACTGATGGATTTTTGCTGACAGAAACGTCTAAACTGAATTATTTTATGTATGCTTTTAGCTAAATAGAGGGAAATTTTAAATTTAATATAGTAGACTAAAATTCCCTCGGTATTTGAAAATGTTATAATATAAATATTGTTAAAAAAATAAATTAGTAAAAAACATTAAGAACCAAAAAAAATCAAGTACAACGTGAACCTCAGAATCGAACCCACCAGAAAAAAGTAATATATACTTAATAATACAAAGTAATATAGTAAAAGTAATATATATACGTTTATTCTTTCTAATTTTCAAAAAAAAACTTTTATAAATCTGTAAATTTAGAACGTCATTCTCATAAAATTAAAATGTTACATGTGGATGTTTGCTGACAAATACATCGAAACAGAAATCTTTAATGTTTTAATGTCAATTAACACCCAGGATGCTATCATTTTAATTTTGTCAAACAACGAATGAAAATTGTATTCTTTGATTTTTGCTAACATATTGTCAGGATGGAAACAAAAGTCTAAACTCAATTTTTTTTAAGCACGCTTTATTTAAACAAGTGGTAGACAGAAATGTAGAAAACCTCTCTTGCAGCAAATTCCAAAACCTATTTTAAAATTTGTTGTAAATTTTGGCGTGAAAATTTTTCCAAATTGATTGAATCCCAAGTTATTGCATGTGGCATTATACTCTTCGCGAATGTCTAATATGTTGTACAATCACTGTTTAATTGTTTAAAAACTAATTGATGTTTATGCTGTAGGTAATAAATTTTAGGTTTCTTAAAATTTTTATAGCAGTGTGTTATTTTGTTTTTGCTAATTTTCAGTATATCAATCTTCGAAAAAATGCCAAGACAGTAAGTAAATTTTACTTTTCTCACCTAAATCATGAAACTGGTGAAAAAACAAAATCCAACTCTCGGAGTATCAGACACTTAGGTTCCGTAGCAACACAACCGTTTTGGCCAGTCTGTTTTTCTAATTTTTTAAAACTTGTTTTCAGGCTATTTGCCTGCAAAAAGCACCCGGCCGACAAACGAAAATAAATCGTCGTAAATTTTCTATAACTCCCACCGAACGACCGAGTTCCGCGGAGGTCGAAACGAGACTAAATTAATGTTCAGCCGCGGACATGTGCCGCCCTCTCGCCTTCGCCTTAACGCCTCCCCTCCTCAAAATTCAACCACGCCGCTGAGTAACAAGTGGCACACTTTCTCAAATCGGCTAAAACCATTTTTTTTTTTTTTCAATTTTAAAAATCCGAAAATCTACATTAACCAAGCATCCTCAAACCGTGCGTTATCTCATTTTCCAGATCCGTTTCTGATCACTTCTTAATATAAAAACAGCTTATCACCATTTCATTACTCTCAAGATAGATTTTTTGGGATAGTTAGGGATGGTTAGGGTTTTTAGGGGTGGTTAGGTTTTTTTTAAATGGCAACGAGAGTATGACGTCAGCATAAAAACTAAAGGGAAGGTATATGCAATAATGCAACAAAAAATAGCGGCTTAACCATGGTTGTCCGAATTAGACGGCCCAAGAAAACTCTTTACCTCAATATGTCGTCTGCGGCTAAATCATAACAGTCTTCCATACCATCTCCACAAAATAGAGGTCAGAGACAATCTAACATGTGAGTGTGACAGAGGGACCACAGCTTATCCTGACCACACTTTTTTATCATGCCCTTGGCATCGCAAAACAGAGATGTTCTACTCAAAACATTAGTACAAAACAAAATAGCATTACCCACTAGAATGAATATCGTCTTAAGTAAAGTAGACAACAAAGAAACAATACACTCCTTATACAGATTTATTTCAGCAAACAAATTAGAAATTTAAAACGTATCCTCACAACAGACAACAAACATACACACATCAACAACAAATTCCTAGTTCATCACCATGTTTTATATCTTATAAAATAATTATACAGTCATTGTGCCATTGTGGGGGTGGTCCGGGGGGAAGGGGGGCGCCGGGGGTGCTCGGTCTCGCTGGACTGATCGTGGATCGGGGCATGGGGGCTCGCTGGGCAGATTAGCCCCGGACCCCGACAGGATTTGGACTTTTCCATGTATAATGTAAACAGTTTTTATCCACATTCTGGAAAAGGGCTCTGAACAATAAGTTAAAATACAAGGAAAAGAATGGGTTGGCAGGTGAGCCCCTAGGCTTCGGTTGGCTATTGGCGCTGGGCGGGCCTTCGCCCTTGGACGCCTCGGGTCTCTGGTCCTACTCTCCCAATTCTCCGCAATCACCATAAAACATGGCTAATGAGCAAATCTCGACGCCACAAAAGAAAAAGAAAAAAAAAGATTTTTTTAGATATCCTCTTTATTTTTGACTTATTCTTTTAATTAATTTCTTTTAAAAAAATTTTTTTGAAGCATATATACTGGACAATTTGCTATTCAACGACAAATTTCGTCAATCGTATGAACCAGTGTCCAATTCTCAGCCCTTTCGCAGATATTCAACTTTTTTTTCTACTATCTATATTTCGCTGATTGGTTGAAGCGCCGAACACGTCGTGGATTGATAGTACCACGGGCAGTCTTGGATTTTTCCTGAGATCAGAAGTTTTTTTGGCCGAAAGAAATTTGCGGACTTGAGCTATCAACTTGGATTCACCGCTTCCTCTATCTTCAGTTTTGTCGACTTCCCATCATTCTTTTTTTTACGCCAGTGAGCCCGTTTTGTTGTTTTATTAATGAATGTGTTTGGTTGTTTATTTCTTGTTTTAAAAAAAATGTGCTGAAGCACGGCAGAGCGTCAATTCTTCTATTTTTATTTTAAATTAACATCCTTGTTTTATAATTGTAATGAAGTCTTGATTTTTCTTTCCTCCTTTTCTATTCTTCGGACGGGGAAAGAACCTCAAAAATTAAGTTATAATTTGTTTTGCTTTTGTCAATAACACGACATCGTCTTAGTCATAAATCTAATCGTAAATTTGGGGAAATCAAAAACAAACAAAAAACGTTGAAATAGCGTTAAATTTCCTTTAAGAAGACACCCTTCTAGAGCTTTCAATATAATTTTTAATATTTTTGGTCCGTACCGAACTAACTTATCACATAGAATGGATCACTGACTGCACTAATGTACATTGAGGAAGTTCTTCTGGCAGCTGTGTTCTCAATCTCTCAATTTATTAGGGGCAACTTAGTGTTAATGGAAGACGATGCTCGACCACATGTAGCTCGAGTTGTCACCCATTACTCGGAGAATGTAGGGAACCATAGTTTAATTATCACAATGAATTGGCCAGCCCGTGCTGGCATGAATACTATAGAACACTATGGGGCATGATTAAGAGGCGAGTTAGACATCGGTCGCCGCTTCCGACAAGCATTTAACATCTACAAACCACTCTTGTTGAGGAATGTTGTAATAATTACAACGATAACATACATACTGTTTGAAATAAACAACAACATACGAGTTTTTTTCTTTTTTGAGTATACAAGTGTCGTGAGACTTGATACTTTTCTTTCCTGTTTTTGACCATACCCTGGGGGCAGAAGGTCATTTTTATGATATTTTAATCAGTTTAAATTAAAAACAGGGTTTTATTTCTCCGCTGAGGACTCTTTTCATGTGGCACACCTAATGAAAATGTCGACGAAGTACAGTAGGAGTGATTGAACGTTGAAATAGGGTTTTGAACGTTCTGATCAATATTTGTTTCATTTTCCTTTCATTACTTTCCAATTTCCTGTACAATTCAAATCAATTATACCTACCTTTCAATTTTCTGCGACAACGAAAAGGAGTAATCATTTAAACAGGGCGTTTTGCGATATGTTACTTGTATATTGGTTGTTTTGTATAATTAAAAACTGTTTGGCAAATAACCCTTTATTGCATTGTTATTGCGTTTTATTATTTGTTTTTTTCAATGCCATTATCGGTTTTGCAATACACATGTTATGAAGTGCATTTTATATTTTTTAGGTGAAAAACACAATAAAACACGTTAAGGACTTCGGTGGCCGCACCGTTGACCCGGGGCTGATCACAGTAAGGTAAAGGCCCAGGGATCGAATCCAGAGGCCCTGCTTTTTTCAAACCTTAGTTAAAATACCAAAAAATGTTTTAAAAAATGTATATACCGCTCTCGAAAATTTATATACAGTTTTTTATACATCTCAAATAAAATTCTTTCAATAAATGTTCAAGATAAATCAAAGTTGATTGCCGGCGGAAAGTTTTGACGGGTGTTTTACCTAAGGTGGCGGCATTCAAAACTTGAGAGACTCACTTGTTGTGGATTATCTTTCGAGTTTAAGATTATCCCTCCATGAGATTACGTTATCGTTAATACAATACAAGACTAAACTTGCCTTAAATGTAATTATTTGCTTTTAAGTACAATTGGACGTATAATCTCCGGATTGTCGTTTGTTGTACAACCGGTTTACCTAGTTTTATTTTCGGAGGATTGCTTCTCCCAAATTACATCCTCCAAGCGGATTACGGTCACTGTACAAATATCCAAAATGATTATAAGAGTGACGGTTGTAGGCCATATAAGCTGCAAAAAGTCATTATTTTTTTAACCTTCTGTCCGTTTCTTAACCTTTTCGGGGAGCTTTTGTTTTACATATAAATTTGTACCTAGTACATGAATTGTACACATTACAAACAGTTTTCAATGTTGTAAACATTAATACTACGGGCAGTACTGCACTAGGAGGTCAAGTGTTATAATGCCGGCCCTCAGTTTGTTATCGGGTTAAGGCGAGGTCTCGGCTTGTGATGGGCAGTAGAAGAGCGGGCTTGAGCATTAGGGTTAATATGGGTTGAAAAATTGGATCTATTTTTTGACGAAGAGAATGCAAACTAACGGCCTTGTGGATAGTGTGGTTGGAAACATGGTAAGGAGTTCGAAGAATTCTTCTGATGACTTTTAATCGGAATGCTTAGATTCGTTAGACGTTAGATGACTTGGTGGTACTCAACACCTCCGTATGTCCAATCTTCGAAGTTGTCAAAATCGACTATGTAGTTCTTGTCGCTTAAGCGTGTGTCGTTTGTCACGTCTGTTGCCTAAGTATAGCCCTTACTATTTTACTTGTGTAGTTATTTACTGTTAACACAGGCGTGGCAAGGAAGTTTGTTTAATGTGAACATTTTGTCCTCGTTCAGTTTCATCTTCCACGTTTTGCACCATTCTTCAATGAGCTTCAGATGCTCCTCTGGATATTGGAGGTGGCTTGGGTAGAATTGGAGTTAGGAGATAAAATTGCAGTATCGACCGCATAGGTGTAAGGATGGTGTTGGGTTGTTACGGCAGTTCAGTAATATAAACATTATAGATTAGAACCAAGAATGCTCCCTTGCGGGGAAAAATAGAAAGACTTGTTGTTGATGAATTTTATGAAGAATTTCCAGAACTCAGAGGGGAAAACCTGGTAAATTCCATTTTAGATTCCCCGGACAGAGAAATTTTAAACCATTCTGACACCAATGACAATAACTCAGTATGCATGAGCATTGACCAAGATAACATGGACGACTGTCGTCTTAATATTGACGTAGGCTTACAACAGGCAAGACGTTCAAATTTAGAAGGAAATACTGGCCTATCAATACCAATTACTGAAGGTCTTGTAAACCAATGTACAAATCAAATCTCAATTTCGTTGGTAAAATGTAATCCTATAAGGACAAGAGTTATAAAATTATTTGGCTGTAAAGCACGAATAATTGTAGAGTTTTCAGAAGAAATTTTTGAAGAACCTGTAACACGCTTTATAAAGTAATAAGAATCCATCATGATTTTATGGAATTACATAATAAAATGATGGGTAGGAAATAAATTGTCTTTTCCCCATTAGGTATTTATTTCGACAGATCGTCCGGTTTATTATGGACCATCTTCAGTGACTAAATAACAAAAGAGGTACACATTATAAAGTGGTAATATAAATTTACATAACCTTTTGTATATATAAAGTGGTTTGACGGTTTTGTACATCGTTATAAGTTCTAAAGTGGATATCTGGACGACCACGGACTTGTCGATTAGGCTGTCAAGAATGGACATTTGAAATATTTGGAGTTTTTGACAGATTACTCGCCAAGTGTATAGCCATCCAGACATCCACTTTAGAACTTATAACAGCGTAAAAATCCGTCAAACACTTTATCTATAAAAAAAAAAGGTATGTAAATTTAAATTATCTGTATATAATTCGAATATAATTTGTACCACTTTTGTTAATTAATCACAGACGATGGTCTACATTAGACCGAAACCGGTCTGTCGAAATAAATGCCTATTTTGGAAAAGACAATTTATTTCCTACCCATCATCTTATTATGGAGTTCCTCAAAATCAGGATGAACACCATCAACAAATTAATAATTGATAAAGTTTCAAAGTATGCACAAGTGAACCCCTTAAAATCATCTAATAGTATAAAAATTGTTGACTCCCTAATAAACTATTTCACTCATCAAAGTCTTCCTCAACAGATTGTTACAGATAATCGTCCCGAATTCAATTCTAGTATAATATTTAACGAAATTAAATAAAATCACAATTCACTTTACCCCTCCCGACATCCACATTCTAACGGACCAATAGAAAGATTCCATTCTATTCTTATAGAACAATAATAGAAGATTATTAAACAATCAAGAAGTTTACAAAAAAGATTCAATCAGGTCAAAAGTAAAATACATAGCCCTAATTGCATACAATAATAGTATTCATTCCACTACAAAACTTCCTTTCGAAGGGAAAAAACAAAAACAACAAGAAATTAAAAACCGAGGATATTGTTCCCAAACATCAAAACAAAATAAATAATACATTTATGAAAGATGAATAATGACCCCAGAAACGAATAGAGAACAATAATGTTGCCATCAGGAGCAAACATGATGGATATAACCTATAATCCAGGGATAATCCCTATAAATCTTGATGCATCCATGTTAGAGACATCATACTTTCATTCATCTTATTAAAATTGATATTTTTTTAACAATTATATAATTTAAGTAAATTGTATGAAGAAATGTATAATTCAGTTAGTAATAAAGATATTAATAATAAGAATTATGTTTAGTGGTCTAATTGACCATGTTAATTATTTTAATTAATTATTCTTTTTATGTAAGGTCTTGGTTGAGATGAAAAACGTAGTGTCACGAGTAGGATTCGAACCCACGACCTTTGGCTCAATACTCCACTGTTCTAATGACTTGAGTGAAGTCACGATAGCTCATGTGGTTAGACTAGTGGTGTATTGAGCCGAAGGTCATGGGTTCGAATCCGGCTCGTGACACTAACTTTTTCTTCTCAACTAAGACCTTACATAAAAAGAATAGTAACAGACAATAGTTTAATGACAGACAACACTAGACACTAAAAGATATTGTAAAACATTTAGTACTTATAAATAATACTAGAGAAATAATTTTAGTAAAATTAGAAATAAGAGAGGTCTAATAAATGGTCTAGGAACTATAATCAAATTTATTATTGGAAATCAAGATGCTTACGACGGAGAATAATATAAAAAACATATTGACAACTTGTAGAATTGAATAAAGTGTAAAGAATGATCAAATTAACTTAGAAAAACAAGTAAAACTACAATATTCTACAATTAAATAATTAAAGAATTTAATAAAACTACAACATTAATTGAGGAAAACACTGCCAAACTAATACTAAAAATCATAACAATAAATAAAGAATTAGACGTTTATGTTGAAATAGAAAAATTAAGAGATTCAACTAACTTCTTACATATATTATTATTATTCAACATTGTGCAAAACTTAAAAAATTAATTAACATTCTGCAAGCTTCAAACTTTACACCCTAGTATTATACCTCCTTTTGAATTATTTAAATAAATTGCCAAAATCATTACTTCCTATGAAAACCAGCTGCCTAAAAAATATTTTTGAGTTTGAAAACTTAATAACACTAAAGTGTAAAATTGTTAATTATCAAATTATTTACCTTTTACAGTTACCTCTAGTTCAAAAACAAAGTTATGAACTGTATAATTTACACCCTGTACCAACAGAACATAACTCTGATTTTCTTACAATAATACCACATTTAAAATACCTGTTGAGACCAAATTCAAATTCAATTAGAATAATCATTGAGAGCCTAAATGATAATTGGAAAATATTTCAATCTATGTCTCTGTACTCATCCCAACTCTTAAATCATGAAGAGAAAAATCTATGAGAAGGACATCATCTTAACTAGAGGTACAACATCTATAACCGTCAAATTGGAAGACTACCATATAACATGAGCTAAACCAATACTAAGCCATTTTACCTAAAGAAGAACTTAAAAAAATAAAACTTGGAGATACAATAGTGAAACCATTAAAAGGTATATTCTTAACATAACACACAAATAATATAACATTTTGAAATAAGGAGCTAGTTCAAACTTAAATTTCTCAATGGGTGAAATGCTCCTTAAGAAAGGAACAGCTTCCTAAATTCGAAGTTAACATAAAGCATGTCAAACTTGACTAACAGGCCATTCAACATTTATCTCCAGCTGTCATAAAACTGTTCATCTCCACATCAATATTGTTCAGTGGTCAATAATGAGGTAGTTTATAAAAACACCTTTTTCATTTTTCTTCTTTATTCAGGTCATCTTCTGGGCTTAATTCATCAGGTGATATAATGTTGGGGTGTAAAGTTTGAAGCTTGCAGAATATTCATTAATTTTTTCAGTTTTGCACAATGTTGAATAATAATAATATATGTAAGAAGTTAGTTGGATTTCTTAATTTTTCTAATTCAACATAAACAACTCATTTTTTATTTATTGTTAAGATTTTTAATTTTAGTTTGGTAATGTTTTCTTCAATTAATGTTAAAGTTTTATTAAATTCTTCAATTATTTCATTCTTTAGAATATTGTAGTTTTACTTGTTTTTTATTAAGTTAATTTAAACATTTTTTACACTTTACTCAATTCATTAAGTTTTCAATGTTTTTTCTGTTCATCTTTGGCATAAGCATCTAGATTTCCAGTAATAAATTTGATTATGGATCCTAGTTCATTAATTAGACCTCTTTCATTATTTCTCTAGTATTATTTATAAATACTTACTGATTAACAATATCCCTTAGTTTACTATATTGTCTGTTACATATTCTACATTATTAAGACAATAATAATAAAAATTTCTTTCAATTTATTGCCTAGGCTATAATTATTGTTTTACTTTATTGAGTATTTTTTCTGATTGTTTCACCAACGACCTCTGGCAGATGGATCCAAGATCCATGTCCTTAAATGCTTTGAAATCACAGATGTCATTCTTTTTCTTAAGTTCAATAAAGCATTATTATTATTATTATTATTAATAAAAATGAATATCTTTAATACTAACTGAAATATATAGAATTTATTTAAAATATGTAAATGTTTAAATGAAATATCAATTTTAATATGATGAATGAATGCATGCATCAAGATTTATGAGGATTATCCCTGGATTATGGGTTAATATTTGCTCCTGATGGGATGATTCCAATAAGGAAGAGGAAGGGCCGGCAAGTTATTGTTCTGCATTAGTTTCTGGGTCCTCTTAATGTTTGATAAATCTATTTTTTCTTTTTTGTCGTGATGCTTGGGAACAATATCTTAAATTATTGTAATAACGGTTAAAAGCTTGGCGTGAAGTTACAATATTCACTTCCTTGTGATCACATCCCTGATCGACAACAAATTGGTGTTTCGGAACATGCGACGTAGTGCATAGAAGTATTTTATTTCTACATATTGAATGTAATTAAATTTTATATGGTTTTTGTTGTTGATTATAGTTTAAAGTTGCAAGACAATTTGCTCGATCATCAATAAGCTTATTATTATTTTAATTAAAAATGTGCCAAGTTTACGCGAAAGAAGAAGGAAGAAATATTATATTTTTTGTACATTACTCAATCTTACCCATCTTATCTACCTTATCCAACCTGCCAATGATTGGATATGAAACTCATGTAAAATGATATGGCCGTCGATTGTCCAGAATAATCATAAAACCAAAACATAAGAGAAAATAAATATTATTCTTTCCCAATACGATTTCTTCCCGCATTGTTTTCTTTTACGTTAATTAATTGTCCTATATAGAGATACAAGTGAAAGGTAAAATATTAATTAGCACGTAATTTAAAGTTGGGCAATTGGTTTAAATTAAGTTTCGCGTTGGTAAATCGAATCAAGCAAGTCTGATGAAGGATAATTTAACAAATTATATTTGTGTATTTATTATTTTCTAAGAATGATAAAAAATTATGAAATATATAATAAATAGTACGTACTATTTCCAGATCCGGGTGTGAAAAACGTCAAGATTTCTCTTAACCGCCATTACAAGGAATGAATCGATCCGGCAATCGATTCTTTTCCAGCTCAACCACAAGACTCAACTCAGCTGTCGTGCACGTTCGTTCAGGTTACCTTCCCGGACTGGGAGGTGATTTTTCGAGATGTTGTAGTCTTTTAGTTTGATTTTACTCCCGCTGAACAATCTCGGAGGTCTTTTGTGTTTACATGGATGTAAAGCCGAGCCGGCCCCTTTCGCCATAAATGGGTATATGCCAAGGGAAATGCCGAAAAGGTCGGAGAGACGAGACCAGCGACGACTCGAGGGAGAGGACAAGGTCCAGGAGCGCTCCATCCCACTCCAGAGGATACACAAGGGAGAAGAACAGCGTTATAGAAGGGCTTATATTAGATTCCTTGAGGGCCATAAGATCCCTCGTAGAAAAGTAAGTTTTTTTATCTTTTTCAATGAGGCTTACCTGCCATTTAAACAGTTATTTTATTAACATGATCATATAACAATAAAAATGTAACATACGCGCCTGTTTACTATTTGTGTTGAATGAAGCTTCAAAACACAAAAAAGAGACAATACGCAAACGCTATTATTGCTACAATTGTCCTAACGCTCAATAGTTATATTATTAAATTAGTTACACAAGTCAGCTATAATTCTAACTCTACGGGTGAGCTTAATAAAAAAAAACTTACCCCAGAAGACACTCGCCAACCCTCCACATGTTGATTGGTTTTGCTAAAGCATCTTGCTGCCTTTCCTGGTCTCTTATTTCTAGACACTCCTCAACAGCTGGGACACTCCTGAACATACTGGGTTTCCACTGTGTGAAACTCACTCGCACAACTGTTTTGATAAAGTTGTCTCGTGTTGTGGAGACAGGGACTGCAAATTGGTGCGAGGGTGTTTCGGGAGGAGCCGTCGATTTTTAGTGTGCATCAAAGTGTTTCATGTTGTTTCGCACTTGTCTCAAGTATGAGACTGAACCATAAATGCATTTGGCTTATCCGGAAGGATCACAACTACCGATTTTTGTGGGGATGCTAAAAATAAAACTGTTCAGAACAAGGGAGAGGCTGCGTGGAAGGAAATTAGTATCAAAATGGGACAAACTGTCAGTACTCTTAAAGTGAAAATGAAAACTCAAATGCGGTCTTACAGGAAGACAAGAGATATTCAATCTTTGGAAGTCATCTGGGTAAAGTTAATAATAGAATCATCAATGGATTCTACTGGTATATCCCTCAGAAGCTGGTTCCCATATTGCATTTGCCGACAAAATAATTATTTGATCCACCACCGGTATTTTCTTCGTTTGTTTTTCTTTTAACATAAATTATCACCATGATAACAAAATGCAGCAGTTGGTGTAGTTGTAAACGGTATGCTTTGCAAGTTTCGCAAACCAGTTATGCGAGGAGTTTCATGCAGTGGAAACCTAGCTGTAGACTATGCCACTTGTCTCAGCAACTCTCTCTTCGACTCTTCTTCGTTTTCACCGTGTCTTCGCTGATTTACTTTTCAATCCTCCCATTTTATTTCAGTTCCAAAAACAAGAGTGGAAGGAAGGAAAAGTAAATTCTTGAATCCTGATGCTTAACGCCCTTCCAGCGAGAGTCATCCATGATCCCTAGCCTGCATACAGATTTAAACAATTTGAATAATTTTAGAATAAGAATTTGATACATGAAGCAGATAAATATGGTTGCATATTGGGAGCTCTTTCAAGCATTGTTTGAATTAATATCTTTAATTTGAATGAATGCATTTATTAGAGTAAACATTGTAATACGTTTGGGTGAATTTGTGATATAAAAAGTTATAAAACCCAAAAGCGCTTCCAATAAGTAGACCAAAAACATTTCAGATTTATTTCCAGCAGCCTTTAAAACCCTTAAAATACGAATTTTCATAGCAATAAATAATAGGCTGAACAATATCCTTACTTTGGTGAATGCATTTATTAGCGTGAACATAATAGTATATTTGGGTGTGTTTATGATGTAATATCGAGTACCACAAGCACACCAAAGTAGTTCAGGTTATTTAGTTTTATGCATATTTGCAGTAAGCTGGAGGACTGAATAACATTTTTAAAAAACCTGGTGACTTCTCAACTGTGTGGATATATTTATTAGCTTGTAGGTAAGTATGTATGGATGCAGTCTGTATGGATATCTAGTACCCATAGAATTGTCAAACCAATTAAATTAACTTAGCATAGTGAATGTGTGATTTTTTATGTGGGTGAATGTATTTATTTGCATGAATGAAGGGTGGGTGTCAAGGTGAAAAAAACACTTTGCCGGCCTCCCAACCTTATATTTAGGTTCGACATAATTTTAGTATTGTTGATTGGGTGGGGTTTTCAGCAGTATGTCAATAACTCCGAATTTAATTTCGATTAGGTAATATTTTTAATAGGATTAAGGAATATTTTATTGACATTTTAATCATGCATGAAAGGGTTATTCATCGATGATAGCAGTAACAAAAATAAAAATACAAGATAGATAAAACGTGAAGAGCCGATAATATTCTTAACTAACCGGGTGGGGAAAAAAATATGTACATACATTTTTATGTCATTTTTAAATATAATTGCATAAGTTTATAATTAAAAAATTATAATAATATTAATCTTTCCGTATTTTTTGTTTTCCTTATTCAGTTTAAAATTCAGATATGTGTGTATACATTAATTAGAGGGCCAGCTATCATCAGTGTAAAATGTATAGTTTTACTTTTAATTTTATCTTGCAAGTTTCAAACGTAAGTTAAAATCTAATCATATTCACTTTATTGATTGATAGATTGATTATCCTGGTCTGCTAATTCTTACAGTATATTTCATCAAATGCGTTGCATCATCTCAGTATCTGACTCATCTGCTAAAACAAGTGAACCAGTTGGCTCATTCTGCAACATTGCTCCAAGGCAGTGTACATATTGCATTTTTAATAGACAAAATTTGAACAGTTTTGCGTAACTTTTTGAATGTATTTTTCCACGGAGGACAAACCTGACAAACATTTGCTTAATTAATCATTTTCAAGTTGGTATTTTTATCCCTAGGTGGAGAGTGTAAGCAAAGAAACAAGATTATGATAATAATTATAACAGTGCACATTTTGTTTTTTTGCACATTTGGTAGTTTTGATTTTTTTATAATAAACCCTACATTCATTTAATTTTATCATCACGTTTGTTTGTAAAGCAGATACTTTATGGTCTATCAAATATTAGCATTAATATTCTTATTCTTTTGTTATTTATGAACTATTTGCATATTCCAACCATATTATGTGTTTATTGTGGGGTTTGTATTCCATTTTCAACATTGTTTCGTGATAATTTGTTAATTACTGTTCAAACATTTAAGTTTTGTTGTTTATCATCTTGAATATATTGTATGACCTTATTTTATGGGTTGTGATCATGCTTGAGTAAATTGTGCAATGCATGGACAAACAGATTTAATAAATAAATAAATAATACAATTCATAGAGGATGGTTCTTCAATTTTTTTTTTTTCAAGTTATAAAATGCCCAGACACAAAAATCAGTTTTTTTATTCTGTTATTATTTATGTGAAAATAATTATTTGATTTAAAAAAGTAAAGTAATTACTGTCATACAGGAGGGCTTGACATCCTACTACCCGTTGGTTATCATGAATTGTTCAGATTTTAGTATTTACAAATTTTTTTCCAAATTAATCGTAAATAAAATTGTGTGGCGAATACACTCAAAGAGAAGACAAGACAAAAAAAAACGGACCTTATTTATTTTCCATAATAACTAGGTAGTTGTTGTGGCCAACAATATTAAAGTAATTGTTTAGATGCCATGGGTTTGAGTTCTTTTGTTTTTGTAGGCCTCTGGTCTATGATCAGATGCTTGTGACACTCTCTGAACAACTTCAATAGTGTCAAGATCGCGTTCTTTGTGCGCATGCGTGAACGATCATGCGCACAAAGAACGCGGTCTTGACACTATTGAAGTTGTTCAGAGAGTGTCACAAGCATCTGATCATAGACCAGAGGCCTACAAAAACAAAAGAACTCAAACCCATGGCATCTAAATAATTACTTTAATATTGTTGGCCACAACAGTAGTAAAGATGAATTTGATAAGATTAGAGTCGATAAGGCAAATAGGATTTATAGAAATGATAAATTGTCTCTCTTAATAAGATTAATTTGTAAAAATTAAGTTGACTTAAAACTGCATTAATAACTTGTTATTCAATGTTGTTATTATTCAAAAATAATAAAAGGTGTTTTTTTTTCTGAGTGTGGTTTATTTGTCTTGTTAATCATACTGATTATCTTTACTTTTAATTAAATATGACACGTTTAATTTATACAGTGATCAAGAGCCACCAGAGGAGTTGTTTAAACTCCATAGCATCGCTGATCAGGATGATGGTTGGATACAGATCGTCAATTCTATGGTACAAGTTGTCCCTATTGACGAGGCACTGGGTCCTGCAGTCATCACTCTATTACTTGACGACTGTCCCCTTCCTAATAAAGTATGATTTGAATGCATCACCATTCAAAACAAGCCAATAACACATTTGTTCTTCATAGGAAACCGTTTTACGCCTGTCACGCCATTTTGACTTATCGAGGAAAAATCACTGCACAAGTACAAAAGACCCAAGGAAACAAAGGAACATCTGCATTGTACTTGGTTTCCTGGCAGAAAAACTTTCGGGACCAAGTAGTGTAGGGATTTTGACAAAAGGAACTTTAGATTTTCTTATTTCTAATTTGGCAAGTATATTATTACAAACATATATTTTTTTTATTTTTCTCCCTTCTTACATAAAAAGTTTTACTATATAATGTCGTAATAAAAAAATAGTAAGCTTTAAAATTGCATTATTAAGTCAAGTGAGAAGATGTTGCATTTATTTTGAATTAATAAATTTTATTGGGGTGTTGGTAAGGTGCTGACATGGCACTCATCACTGTAACGTAAAGGTCCCACGCTCGAATAATTAATTTGAATATATTTTTAGGAAGAGGGCACAGAACCTGTTGTTACACTGTTTTCTCTTATTGCACTAGAAAAATTTGCCCAGACAAGTAAGTTTTATTTAATTTATTTTTTATTTAAAAATTTTACTCTAACCAACATTATTACAATTTTGTTCCTCCTCAGGTGAAAACAAGATTACTATAAAAGAAGATTTGAAGAAAGCAGGAGACCCGTTGATAAAACTTGAAAAAAAGATCGGATCAGAAAACTTAATTGAGGCACAAGTTGGATTCTGTGCCCAATGGTGTTTAGACAACTTATGTAAGAATTTATTTTCCAATTTGTTCACTCTTAACATTAAAAAATATTAACTTTAAATATTTATAGTCTTAATTGAAGGAAGGAAATTCTCTTACGAGACAGTAGATATGTCTAATATCAATGCTATGTTGAACACGAGAGATGTCAGCGAGTATTTGAAAATATCACCTGATGGACTTGAGGTAAAGAAAATAAAGGAACTTGTCCTGGCTGAATTGTCTATAAAAAAAATTGTGTTTTTTCAGGCAAGGTGTGATGCATATTCTTTTGAGAGTGTACGCTGCACATTCCCTGTAACTGAAGGAGTATGGTATTATGAAGTAACCCTGCTTAGTCCCGGTGTAATGCAAATTGGTTGGGCGACAAAGCTCAGCAAATTTTTAAATCATGTATGTTAAACTAAACTATGACTGTAATTATAATAAAATAATAATAATAACTTTCCAGGAAGGTTATGGTATCGGCGATGATGAATATTCTCTTGCATACGATGGCTGCAGGGAACTGCTTTGGCACAATGCAAAGTCATTATATATCCCTTACAGCTGTTGGAGTAGCGGAGATACAGTCGGTTCGCTTCTACAAATTGACTCCTCCAAGGTCACATTTTTTTTAAATGGCAAAACAATTGTTGATTCATCTGTGGTATTTAAAGCATCATCGTAAGTATCTTATTCTTTGTTGTTTTTTTTTTTTTTTTTATATATATATATTTAATCAATTAATTTTCAGGACTGAATATTTCGCTGGAGCCAGTTTTATGTCCTTTCAGCAGTGCAGGTTTAATTTTGGTAGCCGTCCTTTCCTCCATCCTCCAAAAGATATTGAATTCAAATGTTTCAATGATCATGCTTCATTAACAGATCAAGAAAGAATAGTTCTACCAAGGTATTTTGAATAATTTAAAATATTATTTAGCGAACAAAAAAAGAAGAAAAATGGGCACCTATGTTTATTTATTTTAAATAATAACTAGGCAATAGTTGACTTAAAATGCAAACAACATTGATAACTTTCTGTTTACACTCTTTAGATTAAAAATAAAGAAAATTAGTTCAATTTCATCCTTTTCAGATTCAATCTGTTGAATGAGTTGTTTTCTATGATGAATTGATTTTTTTATTTTTTTTTTTTAATGATTTTTTTGTCTTTGAGTTTATAATTTAGTGTTTACTTTTAAATATTTTCTTTCTAGGCATTTACAATTAGAAGCGGTAAGAAATATGAGTATAAAAGAAGACTCTTGCACAATTTGTTTTGACCAAAAAGCTGAAGTGAGGCTAGAACCTTGTGGACACAAGTAAGTTATTTCTGTGTATATGTTTTTAAATTATTAATTAATTTTACTTATTTATTGACAGTGGTTTCTGCAAAACTTGTGCATTGCAACTGACTGAATGTCCGATGTGCAGAGGAGTGATTCACCACTTTTTGACTGAGCCCCCCTGACGCTATCTTAAAGTCAAAAAAGCCGTATTAAAGAAAAAACGGAACCTGTCTTCTTTTACCTTCACAGCACTAGGTTTTCGCTTTGTACTTACGAGGGTAAAAGTAACAATAGCAATGAAATGAATTATTGTAGATATGAAAAAGGGACAAAGTTGTAAATTTATGTAAATTAGTGCATGAAATTTGTATATAAAAGTAATTATAAAATACTTGAGGAGATTGGAAGAAAACAAAAAGTCATTTTTCACACCACCTTAACATTTTCAAGTAAGGGGAGAAAATATAAAAAGAGTAAAAACAAACTTGCATATTTTCTTTGCCATTTGTACCTGAATATTACTGAGTATTATACATAGAGGTGGTTTGCATGGGAACTGAGTTTTGAAGAAAGGGATTAACATATTGAGAGGCGACATTTTTATTTATTTTTTTAATTGTAATGTCTTTCAGAATATACCTGGTAAGTTAATTAAAATATATAATTTATATTTAAATTATAAAAAATTTGCCAAATTGTTAGTTAAAATTATCAGTTTATGATAATTTTTATTAATTTTCTGGGTTATATTAATTGAAATTGATTCAAATCTTCATTTTTGATTGAACAAAAATATAAAATAATTGTCTTAAAATAAAGACCTCTTATGTGAGTATCTAGGGCTTTATCAACTTAACTATTATTTACACACACATCTATTTCAATACATTAGTAGTAAATTCATACTAAGAAAACATCTATTTTAAAATAATCTACAAGTCTGTGTTTATTATAATATACAATTTAAACATCACTTTATCAGATTTTAAACTTGTGTGTAACAAGGTAAACTACAATAAATATCAAGAAATATAGAATTTCCTCAACAGCGCAAGAAAATTAATAATTTCATTAAGCTTAAAAAATTATTAATATATTTATTATGAAATAGCTTGTCGTTGCTTTACTAGAAGTAACATTTGTTATTTTATTTTTTTTTTAATTTTTTATAATGTAATTGAAGAAAGAAAAGCCATTTCATTATAACACGTTGCCTGGACATGGTTTATAAGAGAGTCCTCAGCTTCCTTTATTTACTTCAATGTAGAAAATAATTTACTAAAATATACAATGAAATGAAATAAGGTAATATTTCCTATAGGGGCTATTGAGCAAAATTTCATTGAATCTAATAGGTTGTAATGAATAAAATTAAAATAGGGGGTACAGAAAGTATTTCAGTAAGAACATTTTTTCTCGGCCCATCAAACATCTTGTGTTGACATGGGTAAGATACTTAAGTAATAATAACGCACGCTGATTTATGACTTATCCTTGATGCCTTAAAATTCTTCGTAATATATAATGAAAACTTAACATTTTGCTGACTTTTACTATCACAATTTTGAAGAAAATTTAATGATCACTTATGATAATTTGTCTATATATATATTTTTATTTTTTTTATACTAGGCTTAAGTTTATTCACATACAATGAAGAGAGAAAAAAAAAGTGATTTTATTTTAAATAAATTATGCTGACTGATTCCCTTAAGAGACTTCTTTCGTATGATTATTAAACATTATTTAACAGAAAACCAAGTTTGTTTCATTTTAATATAGTTCTTTATTTTATGAGCTAGGCAAGAAAGTAAAGTTAAAATGAGTGTATCGAACATGATAGGTCAAGAATAGTTCATATTTTACTAGGCAATAGGTGCAGGAAAATATTAAAACCGCTTTTTCCCAAATTGCTTCATTGCTAGTCAGATGGAATAAATTATCTGTGATATATATAAAGAAATATGTGTGTATATTTAGCTATAAGATTAAAGGTGGTAAAATTTTGTTTTTCTTTTTAATATCTGTCCATCTGAAAAAATTGGTATATTGTATTAAGCAATCAGTCAGTTATAATTTATGTTAAAATATTTATTTAACCTAAGAGTTTATGTTTAGTTTATAATTAATTATTTTAAACTTTTGTCAATTCCTTTAACTTATATTTCCCAACACTTTTGGAAATGTTGAATAGGATTTGTGAAATCCTGGAATTCCAGTCTTAATGATGCTACAAAATAAATCTATTTGTCTTGTTCTACACTAGCTCACATTTCATCTAATGTAAAGACTGAACTGTGTATATTTATTTATTGTAGAAACAATTTTAACCCAATAGTCTTTATCAGAGCGTAAATAATAAAGTTTTTTGTCAACATTAATATTGAAAGCCTTACAATAAATAATTCATTGCTATAACTTTAGTTAAATGCTTTCCGTTTTTTATGATGCTATTATTATTATTATTATTATTGGATTTTTTAATGTTAAATCTTGCTATATTCTAAGGGTATGTATACACATATGTATTTGAGTGAAACTCTTTAAAATGTAAACTGTATCAACTTGTTACACATAGCATAAAACATACATTATGTTGTTTATTATTATATAATATATATTTTAGTACAAAAATATGTCTGTTCTTGTGAATATTATATATTGATTTATTGTTGTTGTTTATGACTATAAATATATATAATAAATATTATTGAAAGCTTGACTTTGAATAGTTTCCATTTGTGATAGGACAAAACCATTTTTCAGCATATCAAACGGTCAAAAATATGGATCTATCAAAGAGTAAGTTAAGAATTAATCCTTGGTTCAGTGGGATATATTCCAGGTTAGAGGCAAGTGAAAAATGTTTGTAAATCCCAGGCCCTGAAGATGATCTTAATAAAGATTGAAACGTTGGCACGATAAAGAAAAATTTTTCTAAAATCTAAGTCACACCAGTCCGTATCTCACAATCTCCAAATAAGCAAATGAAAAAGTTCATTAAAGGACCTTCAGACTTCAAACTAACTACAAAACTCCTAAACCTAGGATGTGTTATGATGATTTGATAATTTTCAGATTTTGACCCCACCCTTAGGAATATTGAGTACTCTGGTGGTGTGAATGTGACTGTACTTCTGTTTGTATCAATAGTTGTGTTTATGTTAATTTATTGGAGTTAATGTAATTTATTTGTGTGAAAGGAAGGGGTTGCTTCAACTTGGTTCATCAACCCTTGCCCTGTAGAATATCAACTATTCTAGGGTGTGTGTGTTGGCTCGAAGCGAATAAGCCTCTTTACAAAAATTGATCAACACAGTCAATTGCCATTAATGCACTCTAATAAAACCCTGGTAGCCCTTTTTTCAAAACAGTGTTTTCTTACGGCAGCCAGTGCTGGACAGGTCAAGAAATAAAATGAAACCACAAAGTTCTCACATAAGATCTCTATGTGTAATAATCCACTGCATGTTATCAAAGAGTAACAAAAGATCCATTAAGTAATTTGGGGATTTGAACAGAAATCTCTATTGAGTGGGAATCAGTTTGAATTTGCCAAAGCTATGCAATGCTGTTTTTATTATCAGCCTTACAGCAATGGACAGCCTTACAAACCAACACACACACACATAAGCATGTTATGTTGTATATGTTGTTTTATTTCCTTAAACCAACACATTCTTCAATCTATAATCTACAATGACCTTTCTCAGCATATAAAGAAGGTTGTGGGATGTACAAGGGCAGCAGAACCCCTAATGAAGAACTGCAGAAACCTGTATACCTGTCCATAAACCGTACCTAACCTTTGCGCTGTAGCTTAGCAGCATTATAGACGTGCTCACTGTTAAATATTCTTAGTATAGTCAGGTACGCCACAATGCCATTGTATTAGACCCATCCTGGCTCTACCCATCCCATTTGTAAAGTTTTCCCATTGACAGTACCAGCGTGACTTGGATCCCAAATAGTCATTCAACACCTCTATCCGATCACTTCCTTAACAAAAGACAAAACACCTCAATCATTTGTTTTTCTCTTTTTTTCTTTTTTTTTAATTTGAATGTTTTTTCAATATTTTCATTACAATAGTCATAAAGATGAACATAACAACTACAGTGATAAGAAGCATCCAGATGCCACACTGCCATGGCCTTTTAATTTTTAAGTTAATCAAATCAATTGTCTTTTTAATATCTTCCTCGCATTCTTCAGTACAAGATACGGCATTTCCCAGGCGATTGGTGTCCGCCTGCACTATCAAACCGGCCTTTATCGTCTGTGCTTTTAAGGTGCGGACTATTTTCAGCATATCCTCACTGATTATATCCTGCCTCTTTCTATGATGCTTCATCTCGGCTTCGATTTCTGCAATGGACAATTGACTCAATCTCTTCCTCCATCTGAAGCCTGGTCTGCATCCGCCCGACGTGCAGAGCACCTCCTCTTCCATTCTTTTCAATTTGTCCTCCTTCCCGTTGTTATACTGTTTCGTCAGGTAGGACTTCACTTCCAGAAACAGAACCTTGAACGAATTCAGAACCTTTTCGGCTACCAAGAGATTATCTTTCTTATAGCTTTGCATCCTATCATCTTTTAATCCGACTTTTCTTCTCTTTATGAAAACTGAAGATTTTTCAACTTACAGTTTCCCTGTCTTGCAGTAACGTTACATGATTTCACTTTCGTCACGTTTCTTTTGAACGGGTGTCTTTTCAATTAAAAAACCTAGAATCGATTATTTTGCATGTAAAATCTATTGATTTTTCAAAAAAGATGTTGAGTGATCCTGGATAATCTTAGTTGAGTAATTTAATTTTGGGTGTCATAATATTTACATTTGAATTTGGTGTACAATTCTCTATCAGATGTCACTGTTATAGCTTGCAAGTGCCGATCCAATCGCAACAAAACCCGCTCAAAGTTGTTTAATTCAAAAATTCCTTCTGTACAATAGCGTTAATATTAATATTTATTTCAAATCTCGAGTTCAAAAAATAGTAATATCAACTTTTGTTCTGATTGTGATCTGAACACCTTGGTCCGCCAGTTCTCGCCATGTATTCTGACACATTTCATCATCTTTAGTGAATGTCTTCTTCTTCCCATTTATTACCGACTTATGTATAAGAGTTATACATAACAGTAAGAATCCTGAACACACATGTTTAAAATTGAACTTATGAATTCTCGAGTTAATCATCCACCTTCAGTTTGACAGTCTTTGTCTTCCATCTTCATTATACATTGAGGGATGTTAATAGTTAGGCCATTTCAGACCCCAACGTATAAATTTTTCAATCGAAACCCTCTCACTCTTTAATACACTGTGAACAAATTTAATTCTCCACTCAATTTATTTAGTTTAGAATTGAATTAAATATCTTTCTACATTAGTTACAGAATATTAGGAACTATTGTAGTCAAGTAGAAAGGTACACCCCATGTTGTATGGTTCTTCAAGTGGCATTCCATAGTGGGTCATTGATGTTCTGGGGTGGCATTTCCTTATCCGCCCGCACCGAATTAGTTATTGTGCAAGGAAGATCTCTAACTTCACCAGACATAAGGCAAAGCATAATCGAAGAACATGTAGTGCTATTTGCCCCCCCCCCCACATCAGTTATCTTGATAATGAAGATAATGTCAGGCTCCGTATAACACATATTGTGAATGACTACCTGAATGAGGTTTGAATTGAGAGCTTGGTGTGGACAGCTCGAAGTCCAGATTGAACCCAATCAAACAAATTTGGGAAATTTGCGATGAATGCAATGGTGCAAGGCAGGTCCTAACACCCTAGAAGAGTTGGAAACAGCTATTCTTGATGAATGGGAAAGAAGTCCTAACAATATTACCAGAAATCTTTTCCAAGGAATGCAAAAGCGTTTAATAGATGACCTTACAGTGATGAGTGCTGTGTCAACGGCTAAACCGATTAACCTCCATTATTAAGAGTAAAAAAGAAAAAAGAGCTACTTTCAAGTTCGAAATTATAAATTATATTTGTTAAAGTTCCTCCTATTAATATACCCAAAAATAATAAAATTAGTTTTTGCTTTTCATTAATTTTTTTTTAATCTAATTTTTTGGTCAAGATGAAAAGAATAAATAATTGAAATAATTAATATGGTCAATTGTGACTATTAAATACACTGACAGGCAAAAAATTCCACCTAATTGATGTCAAATGATTGTTTTTTTTGTTTTTTTTATATAAAAGAAAATTCTTCCCTTTCTTTGCCTCATTGTTTTTATCAATAAATATTTGCTTATGCTATGTTTTAAATTAGGAATGTCTATTGGAGGATAAGCGCACTTAATCATTAATCAAAACAAGGATAAAGGATTTTTCAATGTTCACTTTTTACGGAATTTAAAATGTTTATTCAGTCTCATTTGAATTCTGAAGTAATAAACTGTTTAGTTTTCATCTTTTTTTCTTAATTTCAATTTTTAAACTAAAAAAAATCACTTAGTGGTGAGGATGTTAAGCTTGGTGTGGTACTTCCATCAAGTATGCAACTATTGCCATCAGAGATCCCTACAAAACTCTGTGATACGCCATTAGATGTTTTCGAGAAACTGGGTCCTACCATAGAAGGCCCGATTCTGGACGCCCTAAAGTGTAACAACCACACGATGACTATTTTTTTACTTTGAGAATTTTGCAAAACGGGCACCTTTGTTCAAGCAATTCTTCAGCCCCAGGAAGTTCGAGGTGTTCAAATTTCTGAACACCCTGCTCGAAGAAGATTAAATCAGCATGGACTGATGGCTTTTCACCCTGTAAGAGGACCAGAATGACCAGAACACACAGAGCTGCATGGCTTCCATTTGCTTGACAACACAGCCATTCATCTTTGGACGATTGGTCTGCTGTATTTTTTATAGATGAGTGTAGATTTACTCGACGATTTCCAGATGGGCATAATTGTATGGAGATGGCGAAATGAAAGGTACGAAGCTTGCAATTTTTCTCAGAGCCAAACTTTTCAGCTCAGTGATAGTGTGGGCAGGAATCTCAATGGAGAGTCGCACAAAGTTGGTGTTGTTCGTGGAGGGTCTTTGACGACCACTTGCTATGTGGATGAAAATGCGTTGCCTATCCTCGATGAAATCAGCGACAATCCTATTCTAATGCACGATAATCCCTTCCACATGTCACTCACATAGTACAAACGTACCTTCAACAACATCACAGGGTCTTAGCCTGGCCAGCCCGTTGTCCAGACTTGAACCCCATCAAACATTTATGTGATAACCTCAAAAGACTAATAAGAGCACGTCCATCACTCCCTGATACACCCCACGATCTGGAAAGGCCTCTTTGTGAAGAATGGGCTAACCTTCAGCAAAGAGACAAATCCAGACTGGTATAAAGTATGCTGAGGCGTCTTCGAGATGTAATTAAGGTAAGTGAAGGAAATATGCGATATTGAAATATTAATTAAAAATATAAAACAAATTTTATCTGTCCGTCTTTTTTTTCATTTTCCTTAACAATTTACGTTTTCATAATAATTTATACTTTCCTGAATAATCCTTTGCTGAGGATCACGACCAACGTTTACGCCTCTGAATCTGGATTAAGACTGCGGAACTTTCTGGACTCTGGTTCGACAGTGCAGCCAATTTATTTTGAAACTGGCGCCTTCTCACGATCCGGACGGCATCCAGGACGAATCACTTCGCCAAAAGCCCTTCGGACCACTTGCGAATTTCCTGCTGTATAAATTTCTATTAAGATTAACAAATAATTATATATTTTTTTTAATTAAATCCTTTGAGGATTTACTTCCGTGGCGGCCGGTATCGATAATCGTCCTCTGACTCATACCCGGGCGTAGATTTAGTCAGCTGTCCTTATTTATTTTCTCGACGAAGGAAGAAGGCCTGAGTTGCACCCTTTGATTTCCTCCTTTCCCCCTTTTCCGTGTTATCGTAATTATTTGATTTTTTTATTTTGTCACGCGGTTCGGTTCGTACAAATGATACCTCGTTCGACCCTGTCCCAGCTTTAGAGATAACTCATCTCTTTCGCTTATACTCCCAGTCACGTGGTTTGACGAAGTCGCCCGTACGATCACAATGGATGGTGAGTAGGTTTTTTTTTTTTTTTTTTTTTTTTTTTAAATAATTTATTAAGTTTTAAATCTTTTGTTCAACCACCATACAAGCTTATTCCGTTAAAATAATATAGCTGAAACGCTCCTTGCATGACTTCCAGGAATACTTTATAAATATAACTTTGTTTACCTTGCAACATACCTACAGTATAATCGATGGATGATGTCTGTGCGGTGCGATTCATTTTCATCCTGCCATACGTCTAATTCTATATGTACCGTACTTTAAAATCGAAAATGGTTCTAGTTTTCTATTTTTGATAATTCTAGCATCTTATCTTTGTTGTCACTATCAATGATCCTCTTAGCTGGATAACCGCTTATATCAGGACCAAATGAAATTTCCTCATTCTATTGTCATCAGTTCATTAACTACTTCTTTTTCTATATAAAGTTTATAATAATTTTACATATTAAAGACAAAAATTCATATTTTCAGTATTGATTTAGATAACTTAATCACAGTGGAAGGAATCTGATGAAAGTAATGCTTTAATTACATATACTCAATCAAAACAAAGTTTCCGAAAACCTTCAGTGAAATAGGAGAAAACCTTTTAAATTATAATAATAATGGGTTAAATTCATGAACAACACAATGTCTAGCAGCCATAAACTTTAATTAAAAATATAAAAATGATGTAATGTTCAATATGTACAAATTAAACAACAACGAACATACATAGTTATACGTTTCAAGCAAAAAATAATCTCTGAACACATTATTTTTCATTTGTTTATTTACTGACACATCTAAATTTTATCGCGGTAATCTGTAGGTCCAACACTACATTTTTTTTACTGCTAATAAACGATTTTTCATTGAGATAACTGTTTCTTATCGTGTCCAGGGATATATTAGACCAAACCTGTAATCACTTTTTAAAAATGGTTTTTTGTTTTTAATCTTCGTTTTTTTAAAAGCTGCCTTCCAATATGATCCCATAAGTGCTCGATAGGGTTTAAATCGGGCGATCGGGGTGGTATCCAAAGCTGTCACATTGTATACTAGTCGTTCTTGAGTTTTCCGATTGTGTTCGGGGTTGTATTATTGTTTAAAATGGAAAGTCCTTTCTGTACCCATTCCTTTAAATTCTGTTTTAGAACATCAGTGTAGATGTATTGGTCCATGATTCTATCGATTGTGTTTAAATTACTACTACATTATAGCCCGTGCAGACCTAAACAAGCAATCTCATGTTTAATCGTTGGTAGTTTATTCTTTAAATTCAGGTGTTCCTCTGGCTTAGGCCACAAATTCTTTTTTCCATCGGATGCTGAGACATTAAATTTGCTCTCATCGGTGAATATAACATTCTCCCAAAATGTTTACTTAAATGGTCTTTAGCATGGAGACTCTTTTTCCTTATATAGCACTTTCTGGGATTGCGCTCGTGCATGCCTTGTTTTTAATAGTATTTCGTTCCGTTTGGGTCATAACTGAAATATTATAATCCTGGAATACCTGCAATTTTGAGGTCACTTCTTTAAGAAGACAAGCTTTTGAATGTTGTTTGATTTTTCTGGCTGGCCTAAATGCGGTCAGTTTTCAGCATTTCAGAGCTCCTGATGCTGGGAGATGATAAAATGAATTGTCAAGGGTTGCTTATTAAGTAGATATTCTATTTCATGAAATGATTTACCTTCATTATACAATTTAACATTTACTTCCTGAGTGGATCACGTTATTTCCATATTGAAGATTAATATTGTAGTAACTAAGCTTGATTGCTATATTGCAAAAAGTAAACAATTAGACTGTACTCAGTGAACTTTGGATATTCAGAGTTCTTATGAAAATAAATAACCATAAAATAATGTTTTTGTATCCAATGACTTACAATAAGAAATTTGGAGCTCATATTTTGGGCAAACCAGAAGGTTGTGAGATTTCCTCTTGTGGTCTGCGGGGTGATAAACTTACCTATCATCTTGATCTATCCTAGCGTAGGATCGGCAGGCCAAGATAATAAGTAATCATCAAACTATAGGTACATCATTCCACAGACTACACCATGAAATCTCACAATAAACTTTACACCAACGTAGACCAGCCAATGTACTTCTGGGACAAACTTAATGCACCCTTTACTACCAAAAACCTGACAAAGATAAAAGAAAAAAGTTCCAATTAGACTCTACATAGTGTAAAAACCTTTTTAGTACATCAATTAATTTATTGTTACATGTATTCATCTAAATTTGTACAAGTTATGTTTGACAAATTGAAATGTGATTGGATTAATTACATCACAAATTATGCAAATTAAGGGAGGCCATGTGATTCTTACTAAAAAATCGTTTGATTTACAGCTACAATTTATATAGTTACCAATAAAGTGAACTGATTTATTTTAATACACTGAAATCATGGGACTTCCACCAGACAAAAAAATAAGTGAAATCTTGTTGGTGGATTTAGTTTTTCCTTCCAAAGTCGTTATTTAGTTTTATTCTTCTGTTATTTTGTATAGTAGTATTTCTTACTTACTTTTGTTCTCCTCTAATAACTATTCGGTTTTTGAAACTGTTTGCATTTTTTAATTGTGATGCACTTGCTTAGTGTATCATTCTACATACATCCAAATTGTTCTAATGACTGGTAAATGTATTCTTCTCTCCAATGTAAAGGTAAAGACAATTTTGAGTAGAAGACAATAAAGTTCAACCGTGTTCTTACTATTTTGATCAATATGATCGATGACCACTAAATCACAATTGTATCACCAAATAGACCACATGGAGAAGTCTCGTAGTTTAACAAATACTATAATGTTACCCCTAACAGATCTACGCTAACTAAACTAAAAAGGATAAAGTACCAATTTGTTTATATTTGGTAAAACAGAAAACAAAGTTTTTCATATCACAAATTAAGTATTTAATTGTCAGTTCATTTATTTATTATCAACATATTTATTATTAATCTGGTTGAGGGTGTGTACCCATTGGGGTATATCACAATAAAGTTAAAAGTTAAGAATGTGGTAACTACCGTATCAATATTTTACTCTAAACTATACTATTATTTTATTTTATTTTAATTTTTTATTTTATTTGTTGTTTTATTTTATAATTTACCAAAAAATGCTTACTATTTTCATTCTTCCTCACTGTACTTATTTTTGTAGTTCATTTTTATGAGGTCCATTGCTGTTATGCAAATTTACTCCCTTACTCTTCTTATATATTGGTAATACACCTCACCAACCAATAGATGGCACTGTTAAATCATTTTTGTCACAAAATGTACTACATATTTCCTCCCCCAAACCCTTTGATTTTTAGAGCTTTATTTCAATATCATAGGTTGCTCAATACTCAAAATTTGCCTTCTATTTCTAAATGGCAGTAATAATTTCATAATTACGATAAACTTTGTCTTATTGGTTTAATGCAATACAAACAGAAATGTTCTGATATTACTCTACTTTGCTCAAGTAGTACTTCACTTTTCTCTTTAATTATGTAGACACTATTTAATGTTCATTGTTATGTACAACCCATACCCTTAAATCCATAAAAATATAGTGACTATTAACAAAAGTATCAGTCAGATACTCTTCAAATCGAAATGCTTTTAAAATATCAGCAGTTATGGAAAGAATGTTTCTTTGTATTTAATTACTATTTATCATCTTTAAAAAAATTCAAAACTTTTTTTATATAAATTAATTTTTTTGTCATTGTTGATTATCACATTCATCGTTTTGGTGGGAATGCAATACTTCTATCCCAATATTTTTTTTGTATCAGTCAGATATAAAATTTTGCTCAAGATAATGTGCTAATTAATTATTTTTTAAAGAGTATTTACTATTTGAATAATGTAAAGGATATATTGGCCATGATCAAGATCTGTCAGTGTGTACAATCATCAGATGTAATGTGACATTTTGTTATCAGCCATTGTTTGGAAAAGAAAGGAAAGCAGTTGTCTGTCATAATAGATTACTATGTATTTATTACTGCAGTGAGCTTATGTGTAGAACCTATGGTCTATTTTACAAGATTGTTAACTCTTTTGATTATAATATCTAGTTGTAATTAGCAATTATGGTAAGGATAATGTGTCTATCATTATTGTCACATAGGAAAGAAATTTACACACACAAAAAAAATTTAGTTACATGTTAGAACATTTTGCTCAGGGTTGTATTTCATTTTTATTTGTTTATTTACATTGTAGACATACCTACATCAATTATAGTGATTACAAAATTAGTAAAAATTTTGTGCCATGATAATAAAAATGAGGATATATCAAATCCACTTAATATGCTTCATTCTTTTTGAAGTGTTAAATGTGCCAGCCACTTTTTTACTCTTTACTTGTTATGGTCTGGATGAAGAATCAAATTCTATTGTTACTGCCAAGCTTTCAATCTATTTTAAGGTTCATTATCAGGACAAAAAAATCTTCCATATTTTTTCTTAAATCGACAATCTTAAAAATCTTCACAAAAAGTATTTTGAAAAGGGAAAAATGTTCAGAAGTTATACATGTTGCATTAATTAGTATGTTTTCAATTAAGTATGGCTATGAGTAATTACAATTCATACCTTTTATTTAATTAATTATTACCATAATGGTTTTTAAGTTTGAAATGTTCTGATTGTAACTAACTGAACATGCTTCACTCGGGTATTAGTCTTATTGTTGTTTATTCATTTATTATGTTATTCATTTAGTCGCTTCCGACTCAGGGACCAGCCCACGCCAGAGCTTCCTGTTGGCCGTCACCATCCCAGTTCCTTCATGGTTGAGTCCGTCACCTCCAGAATATCATCCATCCATCTTGCCCTTGGTACTTCTTTTGCTCTCCACTTTCCCTAGCATCAGCTTCTTTCCATGTTGTCCTGTCTTCTCATTATGTGGCCAGAATACTTCAGTTTTGCCTTTAATATCATTCCCTCATGTAAACAGGCTGGCTTTATTTCTTGGAGTATGGACTGGTTTAATCGCCTT